TAATGCTGTGACGATGTCATGGTATGATCAAATATGGCCATAATTTCGCTTATGGCATACTCGTTTTTAGCATGTCACATATATATTAACCAGTTCAGCCTTCAAAACGATCGTCCCCAAGTTGAAAAATTACATGTTCGCAATAGTATACTGTAGAATACAGGTGCTGTGGTATAAAGGTTGTTTTATGATAAATTTTCGGCCGACATATTTGTTTTGCTATCTGCGATTCTGCGGTCTTGCAGCCAGTATAAAATCCGCAATTGACGTCCAAACGTTGTCGAAAACTAAGTTTTCAGTTTATAAAACCAAGATATTACTCTTTACTCATTACTCATTACTCATTACTCATTACTCATTACTCGGAATACAAACATCCAAAATAGAAGACCTTTAAATTGTTTGATGTTGAACTGTACCTCACCGTGTCTCAACTTCATGATCATCGTGGTTGCACGTTTCATCTCAGCTATCCTTTATATTCAGTTATAATTTGGACGATTACTTCATTATACAAAAATACAATGAGCTCAATCACCGTGATCGTGCACAAACAAACATAAACTCAACTGATTACTCAAGCAAAAACATAATACAATGACAAGAATCTTGTTAGACTCATGATGTTGCAATTAGTTCAGTCCTCGCGATTTCGTTGCGTCTCGTTTGACCACCAACTTGCCTTAATGACTTGCGTTAACTCAGTTGCGATTACTTGCGAATGATTTGAGCTGGTTCAAACTTCATCGCAAGCTTATTTAAACTTGCGAGCACTTGCGATACGTTTGATCAGGAATTGCAAGTTCAGGGAAGTTTTTTGAGACCAGTTTCCATAGAAATCAAAGGAAACCATACTCCCTAGTCCCCTGCTCTCTCAAGATGTTATAAAAACGACCTTTTTCTGATCTTCACTTAATCCATTCTCTTGTTTTTCCACGTTTCATGCAAGAAGAGAAAATAACAGTCACAGTGTTGGCAGCTTTCGCTTCATTTTACATGGCATTTTCAAAACTTTCAATATTCGTTTTAAATGGGTTTAAATGACGGCCATACAATTTTGCAAACTACAAAATTACCCGGCACACGGGCCAAATATTAGTGTAAATTGTTGCAATAACTTGCGTATCGTTTGATCGGTCCCATCGCAATTCAGGGCAAGTTTACTTGCGATGACTTGCGTTCTCGTTTGGTCAGGGCTTAAAGTTCCTCACAGTCGGATTTGATATATTACGTCTATGACTATGATGCAACAATGATCAACTGAATATGTTGATGCATGCCAAAACATGTACTAAACTTTAGAGGTAATGTTTGATATTTGATACGTTTTTAAGCACATATTTTTTGTCGTATTATATAGACTTAGTCGCTTTACTATCGATATGTCGTGCAGCACTCGGGAGATTGTTTTAGACAGTCTTGTCAAGAGCACATTTGCTTTGCTTTTGGATGATGCGAACACTGGTGAGAATCGTGAACACTTGAACTTGGCGCAGAAACTGGACAAACGGATTGAACTGCTTCGCGCTCGCAGAAATGACGATCTCCTTACAAGTCTCACGCACCTAAAAAGTGCAGTTGTATCTCTACGTACTTGCTTTAGAGATCTTAGAAAATGGGCAGAGTCTTCTGCAGAAAATTCAACCAGTCAAAACGAATTTCTACATGATGAAAGCGCGAGGCTGGAAACGTATTTTCCAAATGACTCGCAAAGTCAGTTGTACACGCCGAAACACGCACAACTACAGGAAGAAGTCTTACAAATCCAGTCAAGCAAAGAATATGAGGACGCCAGTAGATTGTTTGTTAATTCGAAGGAGATTTCGGCAAAGGTTTTCGAGGACGAAAGTGAAAGAGAAACTCAAATCACGGCAACTAAGGTACGCGTCATCAGCGAAATTCTTGGAAATTTAACCAATCTCAAAGGTGCAGCCGAGAAATGCATTGAATACATTTCAGAACTTCATAAAATTTTCAACCTACAAAGATCTCCTTTTCCAACATGGTACAAAGCTCTACTGAGTTACAAAAAGTCAGAATCCCAAGAGATGGAAGGCTTGGGTTCCGCAATGCATATCAATGCGGTAGTGTTTCGTTTCATTAAGGAATTTATTAGAAAACCAGTTCCCATGTTGAATTGGACCACGATCGATATAACCAGAGAGACTACAAGAGTTGATACACCACAAGAACAAGAGAGACCAGAACAGTTTATGTACAAGAAGACCCATCATCCAATTTTAGGAGAACAGCCACCCAAAACCAATAACCCAGATCCGTTTACGGCAATCGATGAGGACGAGGCCGACGAGCTATGTATTGATTCCCAAGTTTCAGCCGTCAACTGCAGTGGAGAAGTCTTTGCAAAAGAAGTGCCCGTAGACGAAAATCCACCGACAGGTATTATTTCCGTTCGTTTCTAAACTGTAGCCGCACTAAACTGTAAATTATCAACATACCATTATAGTTCAGTTTTACCATGGATATATAGTTGAACTTTTATTATCATTACCCATTGTCAATCTTTAAATATTTTCGCTCCTATAGTGTCAAAACTTCTGCAGTTGCCCATAATCTGCCGCCCTCGCGAAATAAATTAAATTCAAATTCGAAATATAATATAACCGTATTTTATCTCTTTTTTTATTCACATCTTTAGTGATGATTTTTGGTTTATTTTTGGTTTCCGTTCTATTCTGTTTTATAGTGATTAAGAGGATAACGCCAACTGGCAATAAGGAGTACTGTGTTAATGGAAAGAGAAATATATTGAGTATTTCCATCGACTGTGCTGATTGCCATACTAATGAGGCCTCTGCTCAATCCAACGAGGCTAGCTGTGAGCTTAGCTTCAGCATGTCCAATACACCATGCAAAGGCAAAATGTACATTCTAGCAGCATCTAACTCTCGCAAACGCGTACTGTATTTCCTTTATGTTATTGGTATGGATGAAACCATACATCACGAAGAAAAAGTGGGATTTTTAGAAAGCGATCAACTCCTAGAGGCCAAGATTTTTTGCATCAGAGAGAGAAAGTTGATTATACTCAATGTTACAGGTAGTTTCATATATATTTGTGATAACAAAGGCGAACATTTAAAGACAATCGATATGACCGCAAAATTAGGTAATGCACATTTTTTTAGACCCCGGCCAATTATTAGTATTTCATACAATGGTGAAATTGTGTCCTCAGAAGGACAAAACAAGCTTAATGTTTATAACATTGATGAAGAAGGTGAAGTGATATTAAAACATGAAGTAATATTAAAACATGTAGTGCAAGCTGTAGCATTTAATCGCGAGTTGGACGAGCTAATAATTTTATGCTATACGTCAGTCCCACAACAATATCGTTTGGTAATTTCAACGAAAGCTGGAATATTAAAACAAGATATTAAGCTACGAAACGGTAATTATCGGGAAGCAAAGTTGATTTTCCACCGAAATGGTCCAGTAGTATTGCTAATTGACAATCATAGACTACTTCATTTAGAGTAATTATTGTGATGCTGAATGGCCTGGTTTCAATCTAACTATAGGAATGTTTTACAAACGTTATGACGCCCCTAATAAAAGGCTGAACTATATCAGTAGGATTTTATTAATTTGTAGCTATAGTGTAAAATTTGTTATATTCATCAACAAAATTTATTTTTAATACAGTAAAATGCTATTCAATTAAAAAAACATCAATATTATTCACGAGGAAAGACAAATTAGGAAATCACTGTAGTGTCCGGTGGTTTTGCATGTGATAAAAAGTCATGTTCATTTGCATCAACTTTAGCTTTGATTTTCTCGGTTTAGACAGCGTTGATTTTTAAATTATTTCGCCTACGAACAGATCGGAAGGGTCGTTTTTTAAGCCATAACAGTCCGTGTTTTATCAGATATAAACTATATATCTGATAAAGCATTCCTGTTGGTAGACACATATACCCAACATCCATTGCCCAACAGGTTCAGCTAACCTATACTGTAATACGATATTACAATATTGACACCACCTATAGTAGCACCACCCCAATCCTGATTCTTCCGCCACGCCCCTGGAAAACTCCACGATTTAGTTATGAATCATTTATACTAATTTATGTACTTGTTAAATTACATCAACTATTGGCCGTTTAACCCAAAAGTGCAGAAAATGGCGCTTCTGGGACCCCAAATTTTCGTAAAAAGTTGCCTTCCCAACCCCCCAACCCCCCAACCCCCCCCCCCCCCCCCCCCAATAACAGTGCCTTTTTTAAAGGAATTTTCGCTACGTATACGCATAATATTTTTGTGGTGAAGATGGTCCAGTACACTTAAATTATTCAAACCGAAATCTTTCACAACATTCAAAGATAGCATAGCGGTGATGCAGCCACAAACACACGTCATGTGACTGATCAAAATACTCATCGGTTTATTTTCATGCGCAACACGTCTATGACTATGTTGCAGCAATGAACAACAATATGTTACATGCCTAATATAGATAGTAGTATTAATTTCATTCTTACCAGGCCGGCTAAAACAGACAAAAACTTGAAAACTAGGCCATTGAGGCAAAAGTACAAGAAACAGTAAAGTTTATTGTGAAACGTCATGTGTTGAACTTTAGGGCGTCTGGGTGATATTTGATAGGTCTTTGAGAGTATTTTTTGACGTATTATTTAAACAAGAGCTTAACTTCGATACAATAGCAAACAGTCACTTTAAATTACTTTCGATATGTCGCAGGATCTTGTTTTATTCAATCTTCTCAAGAGCACGCTCGCTTTGCTGTTGGGTGACGAGACAAATGTTGGTGAAAATTGTGGGCATTTGCTCACGGAACTGGACGAACGCATCACACAACTTCGTAGTAGCGGCATCAGTGACGATCTCCGAACAAGTCTAACACATCTAAGAACTGCAGTTGTATCACTACGACCTTGCTTTGAGAATCTTAATGATGGGGCACGATCTTCTGCAGAGAATTCAACCAATCAAAACGAACTTCCAGAGGCAAAAAGCGACTTAACAGAGGTTTCAAAAGCAAAGAAGGAAGTCGCCAACTCTGAAACAGATTTTCTGGTCCACGACAAAACGAAACAGCCTTGTAACTCACAAAATTCCGACGTCAGACTTCAGAAAGAGGTCCGAGAAATGGAGGCAAGCAATGATTTTAAAGAGGCCATGGACTGTTTCCAAAAATCAAAGAAGATTTCAGCTAAGGTTTTCGAGGACGGAAGTGAAAGAGAAACTAAAATCACGGCAACTAAGGTATGCGTTATCAGCGAAATTTTTGGAAATTTAGCCAATCTCAATAGTGCAGCCGAGAAATGTATGGAATATATTTCGAAACTTAATGAAATTTTCAATCTACAAAGTCTAAAATCACCTTTCCCACTTTGGCACAACGTTCTGCGTTCTTGGAACCTGCAAAAATTTTTCGAGTCCCCAGAAAGGGTTGGCTTGGATTCAGCAATGCACATCAATGTCGTAGTGTTTCGTTTCATAAAGGAATTTACCAGAAAACCAGTCGCTATGTTGGATTGGCCCATGATCGATATAGCCAGGGAAGAGACATATCATCCAATTTTAGGACAGCAGTCATCAAGAACCAGCACCTCTGATCCGTTTACGATTATCCATCCCAACAAACTATTGATTGATTTCCACGTTTCAGCCGTCAATTGTAGTGGAGAGGCGTTTGCAAAAGGAGTGCCCGTCGCAGACGGAAGACAATCGATAGGTATTATTTACTTTCGAATTCCTTCTATAATGAGGTTATCATTCACTGTAAAAGTAAAAAAAACTTTCGGCGCCGCAGATGGTATTGGTGGTCAATCTGATTATCAGAGTGAGAACATAATGAGAATTCTCTAAAATTGTATTCTTGGCGGTAAAATATGAAGCTAAAATGAACATGTTTTGTGATTTGCTTCCATGAACAAACCTGATCAGTATATTGACTCGTTCTTTAGAAAATTTATTCTATAGTTTCATTGTTATGTATATAATCAGTCAATCACAGAGCGTTTTTTTACAGCTTCATGATGACCCGTTCATGGACGCAGAGAAACAAAATAGAAACATTTAGTTTTGTTGCTCGTTAGATTGGTTAGAATTGTCAAAACCTGGCCTCCAAAGTTGACCATCATCTGCGACCAAAACCCAACAATTTAATTATAAGTGAAGTCACTTGCATGGTTTGTCGATGAGAATTTCTAATAAATTGGAAATATAACCGCGTTATCTCTCAGTCTTTATTCGTATCATGAGGTTTTACATTATCTTTGGTTTATGCTTTGTTTTATAGGAATTATGAAAATAAGTGATCATAGGAGATATGGTGTTGATGACAAGCATAAAATAAAGATATTGAGTATGTCTATCGATTGCGCTGATTGCGAAACACCCAGTGAAAATGTTGCAGAGCCCACTGCCAATACACTGCAGTGCAAAGGTAAAATGTACATTCTAGCGTGCGCACATAGAAAGTATTTCCTTTATGTCATTGACATGGAAGGAAACATACAGCACAAAGAAGAACTGAAGTCGCTGGATAGCAAGAAACTCGAACAGACTAAGATTTTTTGCATGAAACAGAAAAAGGTCATTATACTTGATGTTACTGGAGACAACATTGACATACATATTTTTGATGACAAAGGCAAATATTTGAAGACAATCGATATGATTGCACATTTACCTTATGCAGGTACTGTTTATTTTAGCAAGCCCAAAATTTTCACTATTTCATACAATGGTGAAATCGTTTGTTCTGAAGGACGAAGCAAACTCAATGTTTATAACATTGATGAAGAAGGCAGCTCTCTGGAGAACACACACGAAATTAAACTAAAACATGTGGTGCAAGCTGTAGCATTCAACCACAACTTGGACGAGCTAATAATTTTATGCCACACTTCAATGTTATTCGAATATCACTTGGTAACTTATACGAAATCTACAGGAGCTGAATTAAAACAAGATATTAAGCTACAAAACGGTAATTATCAGGCAGCCGAATTGATTTTTCACAAAAGTGGTCCAGTAGTACTGCTTGACGAGCATAAATTACTTCATTTAAAGTAATGACTTTCATGCTGAATGATCTGTTTTCGATCTAAACATAGAGTAGGAAATTTATGCACTTTGTGACACGCTTGTGATGGCCTAATATAGGTTAATTAACTATTCCCTTATTAGTATGTAGCTGCTTCGAAATTTTTTAAATTCCATAAAAAATTATTTTTAATGAAATATACTCTACAAATTTCTATATACAAATTTAAAAATAAATAACCCTATAATAATTATGTTACCTTACAACTACGTACAATCGGTGAAATAAAAAATATTACTGAGTGTGATATTCCCAAGCAGTACTTTATTCAAAGCCAAATCCTTCGCAACCCTCAGTGATAGCTAGATGAAGACAACGATGAAATTCTTCGTACGATGTGTAGTCTGGTAAGACGAGCTGGTTAAAACTAAAACGAGAAAATATTGTAAAAGGTGTAAAACATACTCGCTACTCCGGAATAAAGTTAATGAATGGAGAATACTCGGTCAAAATAGATTCATGGCTCAATGTTTCGACACACCAGTCTAGTGTCTACATCAGGGATGACCTACAGTTGCAACGTGATCCCTTGTACATGAATAATATTAAAGCTTTGAATAGGGATGGCGGCAGCTATCTACATGTAGCACAAGAGCCATACAATGAGTCACGTTTCGACTTTATAGATCTCACCCCTAATGAAGACAATAGATTGGAATTGCAGAATTAAGTATATAGTGCTCTGACCCAGCCTCGTACAGGATTCTGTGCGTTTCTTTTCACACAGGACCGTCGCGTCCTCCCCAAGCACCCCGCGCGCGTGTACTGAATTGAATAAATTATACAAGAAGACTAAATTGAACAAATTATGCAAAAGGCACCTGGGTACGAGGCTGGCTCTGACCACTGAGCTAGTTATTGAAATGATGCCCATTTGAAAAAACTACCGATTTTTGGTTCGTTCCTGGTTAGGACATTTAGAAATAATTTTCCACCATGAAGTGTTTGAACTTTATGGGAACACAGCATGCAAATACTATTCCTACACTCCTGCAGAGGACAACAAGCAACACTGTTCAAAACCGAATGAACCTAAACAAATTTTATACCATGTGTGAGCTCTGGGTAAGACATTCCTTAGTGGAGACGAGGAAAAGGAAAACTTCGGAGTTAAACATGAAAATCCCCCAGGTGGAAGTTGAGAACTTCCTGTTGTAAACTGGAGTAACCGAGCGATTTCTTCTTGGTTGAATAAAGCGATTGATTTCCAAAACCACGACATCACCTGAAACAGTGAACAAATATTCTCTCGCATCTCTTTCCACATTAATTTACTTGCGATAGTAACGTAATTCTAGTGAATAACTTTTTATTTTGTGAAAGTTTTGTAAGTGAAAAGTTAGATACAATACAGTCTACGATTACACAGAACAGGAATTCTCTAATAACAGGGTTTCTAAACACACAACACATACCTATAATACAGTAAACTAAGCACTGCAAAGCATTGAAAATGAAGGTATAGGCATTTGGGCTAACCATTGGACTAAATAAATGACAAACAAAACAAAACAAAACAAAACAAAACAAAACAAAACAAAACAAACACACAAACACACAAACACACAAACAAACAAACAAACAAACAAGCAAACGACAAAAGTTAGTTGAAACTGGCTGGCTCCTCAAATTACATGCCTTGGAGAATGATGAGTGGTTATCAAAGATATTATGGTTGTTCTTCAGATCGTTCACACTGATATCACTCGTGCCACAAATGAGAAGCTAAATGGTGGAAAATTTTAAAATTATATTAATTAGCATTTTTTAAATCACACATTTCAATGTTCAATTTACATGTCTTACGGCTACAACTCTATTTCAGAACCGTCCTCAGAGATATGAAAAGCTAGTTTCATAATTCATAGTTTATTCTGACACAGCAGAGAAGAACGAAAGATTCTTTGTCTCGAGCGGTATTTGAACTCTTTGAGCGGCGGTCTAGAAACCCGCCAAAGATGTGCGGGTTCAAATCCAGCTCAGGACAACGAATCTTTCGTTGTCTTCAGCAGTGTCAATGGTTATAACCAAACAGGGAAGGAGGCCACTCACTTCTAATTCTTGTTCACTAAACATGGTCAAAAGATTGTCTGGAACAAGTTCGTTGAGTCCTAAAAGTGAAATTTATAAAAGCTCAAGGTTTGAACTCTACTCTGGAACAAGGTATGAACTAACCGGGTGGAACCTGGCTGAGACACATTTACACTTCAAAAACTAATCTGGGTTAGCCGGCCATCATGAGTTATATTAATTCTTGTATGTTATTTAAGGTGGCTCCATACAGTTCCGTAGTATAAATACCTTATTGCGTAAAAATTTCAATTTATAAATTTTATCACTTCATCTATTAATTTTAAGCATTCCCTAGTATAAATTAAGTATTTGGTAGAAACAATTTGCAATATTCTTGAACATAACATTGTTTCCATGGTAACAGTAGTCTTGCCAAATATGGTATTTTTTGCTATTTTAAGCAGGTTTTTATTATTTATTTTCCGAATATTGCCGGTGACACCCCATTTTTTACTGCTGTATAGCTTTCACTTTTAATGCTGAATCTCATCCCTGAAAATAAAAAAATTCTGTAGATTAGAAAAGCCAGAATAAAAAAATGCAGATTTAGAGCCAGTGAACTCTATATACATATATCTGGAATGATAACAGCGAGCGAAAAGTGAAGCCGACAAAAAAAATCACGACATAAGTATTCGTCATTGTCTTCGTCATCAACTGTTCAAGAACTTTCTTACAGTATTAAAAATCACTTACATATATAAAAATTTGTAATTGTTTTGAAAGTTTTTATCCAAGTTTTATATCTTTATTCACTTTTAACTTGAAGATGGAGTTATACTCCGAAACGTAGGTATTAAAATAATTTTTTACCAAGACCATATGGTCTAATTTATATTCAAACACACGTACATATTCATTTACATTTTGCTGGCAGGCAAATTCCCATCACACAATAAATTCTTTAAAAAATAACGTAACAGTGTATTGACTAAAAACTATAAAACTAAAAAACAATTCAAACAATCGCGAAAAATGGCAACGGCAAAGTCACAGTTGCAAGTCAATTTACCTACCTGTGAAATGAAATTTTCTCGCAAGAATATCTCTTTCCTTGTGCATCCAGAACGACAGTACGACACAATATATTTGAAAAAGTGATTCTTTTCTCCACACGGGGAAGTTTTCCTCGACTTTTTTTCCGACAGCGAACTCAATGCAGTAAATTTTAGGAGCAAAACAGTTTGCTCCTAAAATGTATTGCATTGAGTTGCCCATGTTTTTAATTTTTTTTCGTGATTGCGTTCAAATTTATACTGGCCGTGCAACGGTTTGTAAGAGGGGGAATGAAACTGACGTCCAATCCGCGTAAACCTGACGTTTGAGGGACTGAGACTGACGTCCAATCCGCGTGAAAGATTGGTATCGAGGCTTCATTGTTTTCACAATCAAATGACTGAATGTTATCGTTCCAGATATATATATATATAGAGTTCACTGATTTAGAGTTTTCCAATCTACAGATTTTTTTAAAATTTTGTTATTCTATTTGTTTTAAAAGAAGTTATCGTTGTGCAAAATTTCATCACATGTCACCGTGCAAAATTTTGAATTACGCCGTTTTATTGTGGTATCTCACTCGCTCGGCCGAAAGTTTTTCGAGCTCTGCAAGATCAATGAATTGACATGCGCGTTCATGTTTTCGCAGGCGCATCTCCAGAAAAACACGCACAAAAAAGTTTTTAGTCTCGTCGAAACTATATCAAATATATGTTAGAAATACAAATATCTTTAGTTTTGCATGCTAACTCGGGATAACGCCAAGAAAACAGGTGATTGTGTCGTTTGGTATAAGATATGTGTGACATGTATGAACTTTTTGGCTTTTCTACGTAGTTTTATATTCGTTTACAGTCGTAACTTGTGTGTTTTCATGTTGTTGTTGACAATTTAAAACAGTTTGAGCCGGCGCAAGATGCTGTTTCACTGAATTTCTTTGCTGTTGGTAACACTTTGAATACATTTACCAGTTGTAAGTACAAAAAACTTTGGATATTTGAACTTATAAATCTCCAAATATTGGAGTAAAAAACTTTTCGCCGGTCGGGCCGATCGCCGGTTTTCACAAGAGTTTGAAAGTTGAACATTGCATTTTTTACCTTAAAATGTCTTCTAAAAAGACTAGTTATTCAATGTCCAGAACAAAATCAGGACGAAGTTTGTTCTTTGAGGACAAATGAGAACAAGGAAGACTCAAAACATCAAAATAAACATGACTTGTGGTTCGGATTTCAGAACTGAAAAAGTTATTTTTGCATATATTTTTAATATTTTCGCGCGAAAACTCAACATTAGGACAAGATTAAGTACCAGTCCCCCGATGATGAAAAGTGTATGGAGCCACCTTAAACAGAATGATGAGAAAGTAATCCAATTCAGCTCTTGCAATTTAGTTCTCCCAAGTATACCATGGCCAGATCTCATAATGAAGAGTCCGAAATCAAAGTTGTAATACCTTTAATAAAAGCCTCTATCTCTGCTGAGACACGAGTATTTAGTTTATACTGAGCAAGTGCGTCCAGATACTTCATTCTATTGTGTTTGGTCACCT